AAAACTGATTGTGAGTAGCCGTGAAAACAACTGATTTTTTACCTTGGCAACGCCACCCAAGATCAATCTGCTAAAATCAGTAAAAAGATCTTTTTAAGATCTGAAACAGTTTTATGTAAAACTTATATTTTTCGAGATATTTCACTGGTCCGATACTTTTGCTCCACCCTGTATATACATATACATATATAATATATATGCGGACTAAATATTTATTATATATATATATATATGTAAAAATCGATTTTTATTTATTTCGTGAATAAATATCAATGTATCACTTATACTTATAACATACGCCTTACTACTGCGGATGACCATATTTCACTACTTTGACCCTTTATATCTTGGGAAATATTGACTTTTGGGACTTGGTGCAATGATAACTTTTTATCAGCATGGCGAAAACTTTAACATAGTGAAATTTCAGCCAATTTGACCAAAAACCATTTTCCATAGGTTTTGTGCGGGGTCCTTTCTCTCAAAAAGAATGCGGTCAAACGTCTATAGAAGCGATCGGGCTATATAGGCTTATAGGAGGTATGTTGCTTATGTGCTTTTCTTTAATATTTGAGAGTAGTGGGTACAAAATCACGAAATAGTCCTTTTAGAACATAATTACTTTTCCTTGAGTCTCAGTAAAATCGGAATAATATTACAATTAAGGAATAGAAAAGTTCTCGAGCCTCTCAAAAATTTCTGTTAATATTCACCATCTTGATTGAATAAAATTGAGCAATATGTTATTAGCAAGAATTATTAGCAAGACATTTTTTGCATATATATTGTTTCTAGTAATAACTGCCATTTTCTCTGGAACGGCACGTCGGTTCTTGTGACTTGCACATTCGTAATTAGCGCCTCAAAAGCTATAAAATAAGACCAATCTCGATACAAAATTTTTTTCTGAATAAAATAGGACGAACTTGGCCGCATACTTTCCTTAAAAAATGTTCTCTTCTTGCTGTTTATGCAGGATCGATAGTGTAGCGATGGTGAAATTGACGTTTTCAAAATTTTTTAAACTCGAGGGGGAGTGTTTACTACATAAGCAGTCCTCTATTAAATTTTGCTTGGCCGCTAGCCTTTCTTCCTCGCGCTGCTAGGCGATTTCCAGCGATGGCTGATATGCGAAGGAACACAAACGGAGGAGCAGGGCGGTTAGGGTGACCCTATTCTTCCGCAGAGGGCCAATCACCGAGTTTACATTGCCGCCCCGTGTGCGTGCGAGTCGGCAGGAAGTGTATATGTGAGCGTATGCGTGTGACGCGCGCGCGAAGTCCTTAGATATACGTACGTGAGGAACGTCTGTGTACGTACCATCAGCCGCGTTTGCACGTGGCAGGACGTGATTGCACGTGGGTATGGGGAGTAACTAACCCCGCGTTTACCGCTGGTTATTGAATATAAATCAACCTATGATCAGTAAGTCATCGCGATGGGTACAGGCCTGCCAGGAAGTTCGCCTCGTTTGCGAAACCGCGTTCGGTTGGCGAGCGTTTGACGGAGCAAGCGGCTAAGTAGTACAATCGCACGCAAATGCATCCGAATCCGCGATTCGAGCCGTGCAGCTGTGGGGAAACCTTCGGGGTGACATTATAAATTGCGCGCTTGCACAACGGAATGAGAAAAACATACTTGAACATTTCTTTGTGAGATATACAGTCGATGGAATAACGTTTATTTCTGCGAATAAATTGCATATCCTACGATGAAATGTTCATTTTCTTTCTCAGTGTATTGGATGAAACACGCGTGTCATACACTGAGAGAAGAATTTAGTAAATATTAATTTGGTTACTATTACTAAATTTGGTTATAAATTATTAAATTTGGTTACTATTACTAAATGATAGACGTAAATATAGCGGGCCAAAGCTATGGCAATACTTATTAATTAATTTAGTTCTGTAAAATAAATTATTTATTGGACAGAAGTAAAATTTATTTGCTTCCAGAATATATTTGGTAAATAAAATTTATTGAATAGTTGAGCAAAATAAGCGATTTTGTAATAGTTACAAAATTTTTGATAGGTTCAACCAACTATCCGTAATAATAAATATTGAAACGATGTAATAGCTGCAAATGAATGAATTTTTCGTTGTGCTGCAACAAAACATACTTATACTGGTAACAAAATAGAACTCGTACCTACTGAATTTTTTATTATATGGGACATAACGATTTCATAACAATTATCAAATATCTGTTCATAACTGTAATATATTTCATATTAAATATTTAACATTAAGTAACTATTACTAAATTATTTAATTGATGTTACTGTGAATGCAGTTACGTCATACTCCCGATCTATTAAATATTTGGTAATTATTATCATATTTAGTATTAGTTACTAAGGATTCAACGAATTTCTATAACTAAATGCAGTTTGTTATAGTTACCAGTCTTTTCAGTGTATCGTGAACA